CTGTTGAGAAAAGGCTTTCTTTAAAATGAAGGTTTATAAAACATGTATCCAACTTTTAGGGTTATCTTTACTTTATCATACTTATAATAATGAGACAAGACGTCTTAAAGGTTAAAGAATTATTCAAATTCTAGATTATTTGATTTTAAATAGATTGGGATTGATAAGTGTTACGTGATAGAGATATTCAATTAACATGACATATATTTTTCAAAACAATATAACCTGAAGAGAATAAATCAGACCTCAGAACTCAGTTTTCTTTTAATGAACACAAATTACGGACTAATTAAAGAACGTTATAAATAACGAGTAATACTTTCTTTAAAAAACAATGTAATATTCTGAACATATAAACATGTGAAAAAAGTTATCTCTATTATTTTTGCCAACGTGAAAAGCACATCTATATACATATATAATATCACGTATGTATGTATTTTTATTTTGACTATTTTTGTGTAACCTGTATTTTATAATTTATCTTGCAATCCAAATACCGCGTTACGAGATCTTTGAACCAGTCACATGTTCTTTTCTTATCCTTATAACAATAATGAAACTATGTTAGTTATATTCCTATACATTTGAAAGGTAGTAAAATCTAGTACGATTAATTTTGTTAATCTTGTATGACTAATACTAATTATGATAGATTATCGCACGAGAGAGAATTTAGTCTTCTTGGGAACCACGACAAAAAAAAAAGTCTTCTTGGGAACCAAAAAAAAAAGGTATAAGAATCAAATTTTAATTCAACAAATCGATGAGAAGTGCTACTAATTAACTAACCACTAAAATCCCATACGAGAACTTTCCAAACACATTGCTAAATTTGCAAATTGCTTCTTACTAAAATACCCCTCAACATAATTTACAAAAACTTTCAACAAATTCCAAAACTACCCTTCACTCATTTATCGTACTCAACTCCGCCGCGTAACATTTCCTCCTCCGTCCACTACTACTACTACCACCACCCCCGTCACCGTTTCTCCCTTTCCTCCTTCCACCACCGGAACCCACCGTATCATCACCGGAACGACCAACTCTCATTCGAAACTTATCAGTAACAACAATAGGATCCACACTTTTCCGGTGACAACTTCCTCCACCACCTCTCATGAGAGCAGAGCTAGCTTTAACGGCCAATGCAGCCATCTCCTCGGCTTTAAGTGGCTGACGAAGCCAACAAAGAGGTAAAGCAAAGTATATCTGACCTAACTGAAGCTCTTCGTCGGCACTAATGGCTGAAACGGCGTCGTCGAAGTCCATATCGTCGGAGTTACATATAAAACACATTGGATTCTTCTGTAAAACGTATCCAACTTTAACAGGATTCGTAAACTCCATCATTCTTCCATCTTGTAAGATCAGTTTCGCTGTTGCAACTTGAGTCGACTCGTGAGAACTACATATACCCATTTTTTTTACGTAAGTGTTAAATTATTGACTCGTGAGTTCGTGACTCAGTTTTCCGGTGAAAGAAGGAATGAATAATAATGTGTAAAGAGAAAGAGAAGATTTTGTGTTATAAATAGAAAAGAGTTTGTGTTGTGTTTTGTGTTATGAAAATTAAATGGATGCCACGTAGGATATTTGTCGTTTTGTGGACCAATAGGAGTGATGACAGGCTGTATAAGTGGTGGGGGAGATGACAGCTTTTGTGTTTTGTTTAGATTTTTTTTTTTTAACCATTTTATTCTGATTACCTATAATTACCATGTCAGGAACTGAATTTAAATAATAATTATGACTTTGTTGTATGTATCATTTCTATTTTCTTTCTTTGTTTACGTATTAAAATGGTAGTTTTCACATTTTCTTATTGTCATAACTCATAATGGGTTTATATAGTAACATTTTTGTGGAGTAGTAGTGTGTGTGTTAAAGGACTTATATTAATTTTGTCTTACCAATATAAAACACATACAAAATGCAGGATATATATAGCTAGTTTGCAAACGATTTTAGTTCAACTGCTCGTTTGTTACNAATCAAACGATCGTTTGAAAAGGTCGTTTGAAACGGACGATTGGAAAACGAAGTTTTAAACGGACGTTTGATAAAAAAGTTGTTTGA